CCAGCATTCGGGCTTGAAGTCATACGAGAAAAAGAGATTTTATTATTATAAAGTATGTAGCTACCTCTAATTCGGTAGAATAACGATACTTCTTCCGAGTTCATAGTCAAAGCTTCGGGGTATAACAAGAGGTCGGCAAAACAACGGCGAGAGCTATTTTGCGAGTGCGCCCTGGTGGATCAATGGTGGATTGGCCAGACCGGCACTCTCCCCTTGCGCAAGCTTCACGATCCACCGCTTGCTTAGCTCGGATGTACGCGCTGACACACACCGACGCGATATTTGTACCCTGCGTTAGGATGTGTGTGTTTCTTCCGACTTTGAGGGCATTTGGAGGGCATGGTACTTTACAAATTACTCATGCCCTCCCACCTTTTGAGCTAGCATATTTGGTACCCATTTAAAGTAGAATATCGTGGTTACACCGTCCTTACACCTCCAGCCAAGTTGCAGCCAAGCTCCATTGTTTTAGCCCAATCAATAATTACAATGTGTCATCATGCCGTTGAACGTGACTTTTGCGTGACATTGACCCCCTTGACCTTTCTTGACTGACCGGTCAATTCTTGACTGACCCTTTGACTTGACCTTTTTTTTGACGGGGTCAAACAGGTCAAGACAACACTGGCCGCAAGTATGCCATGTACGGCCTTTTGGATATCCTGGTTTCCGCGAGCCAGCTCGGCTGAAAAACTGTAGGTCACGATCTCGTTTAGACCCCCCTTACCAATAACCCATTGGGCGTCCACAATCATCTCCTGTTTTTCTTCCAAGGTGAGGGGTTTGTATTCATTGCCCTCCGAGTCGCTGCTGCTGTCTGAGGTAGTATTGAAACCCTCTTCCTCGCCATCTTTTTCACTTGGTCTGACACTATCGTCGTCAGAATCGACGTCGATCGATGCAGTTTCATCGTCCGAGTAATTGTCATCGCTTTCATCATCGAGGAAGGGATGAGGCCATGTGATGTGCAGATATTGGACATCATTGAACCCAGGAGGGAGGCTCTGCACGATCGAATCAAACGTGATAATTTGCTTCGCCCTGCGCAGGCAAATCGATTGGTATTTGAATGGTTCATCAGGAAAAGGTGATTTCTCCGATAGATCGCCGGTTAGATCTGTAGCCAGATATAGAAAAAGTAGGCACTGTAATTTAGCCGAGCGCAATATCTAACTGCATTGGTCATGATAGCATGGCCATGTCATTTGATAGTACCTAGAGCTGATGAGGAAGCAATATCTTATTAGTCGGATGAATAGTTACAGCAAGATCTATGTTGGCTATCAATGCTATGGATTTTGTATCTACAGTTTCTCTACCCCCCGAAACACACTGGCCTCGCCAATTAATAACTGTATTCCCCTCAACTTATACCTATTACTAACTGTTTTAGTGCATTGTCTGGAGGGCTGTGACATCTGATCGTGCACGCGATCGATGGGGGATGTCGTTTGGTCGACGTGGACTTGGGAGATAGGTTGGCGTTTGGAGGGGGAGTGGCGAATCGCTTGTTCGATGTCGGTGGTGGCTTAGTTTAGCTGGGGTGGTAGGGGGTTGTGGCTGAGATTCGTGGTCAGAAAGAGCCAAGTACCTTGTGAAATTACGCGACGAAGCCCGTCACCCATCGACAGTTCCTCCACATCGAGAACGAGATGGAGGCCCGCCGCCCCACGTCATTGCTTTTGAATAACCCCCCTGCACCTCACTACCTTCCTTCGTCATCGCAATCGTTGAAAGTCTTTTGAGACGAGTTCCAACCTGCGTCCTGTAGTGCCGTCGTCGATGCAAGCTTTTGAAAATATGGTCATCCATATCTCGTTAGAAAATGTTACCTTGCTTGTCAAGGTCTATTTCCACGGTCATAATTATGTGTAGTAGATCGCTCTAGACCAATGCCAAACTTAACCATACAAACTCGCCCAAGGTCATATATCCATTTTATTGGTGCCGAAACGTAGGGACCGCTCTAGACCTCTGGCAAACCCAACCATACAAACTCGCCGTGGCACCCCAAGGTCATATATCCATTTTATTGGTGCCGAAACGTAGGTTGACAACTGTTAGGAACCAAGGAACCGCCACCGCAGTAAACAACCGAGGCGGCAGTCAGTCTTACATTACCTCTCTACTTACTGTTTCAACTCACGTATGATACAGTTCAATATGAAACATATACATTTACTGACTACCATCCCTCACATTCCGTGAATCCGTACTACTTACCACATTTAGACTGGCCACGTTCCTGGTGCCGGTTATGTTTCCCCCAATGACGAGGTTTTGACGAGGTTGATACGACCATGTTTCGATCGTATTTTAGCTGATTTCAAGTTGATAGTATGAGACTGCGCCCGAGACAAACTATGCGAACACAACAGCGACATCACGCTCCCCGAAATTCTATAAGAGACTCAGGTGCTTTCACCTTCACAGGAGTGAAGTACACGCCCCCCCTTCCTCGACGAACCCGAACCACCCGACATAGGCTCAGAAGACGGTGACTCCGACGATGAAACTTAACACGCCCACGCCACCTGCATTCACAGACAATCCCTTGAGCGCAAGGCCGCCCTTACTCTAGCATCATTGATACACTTTTAAACCATAATCTTTACCTTTCCTTTACAAAGCTACACAACGGACAGTAATACCCACATAAGCGGAGACCTATCAGACCTAATTACACCTAAGGGAAGCCTTGAGCTTCCCGTGCATCTTAGTACTAGTCTTGTTGCACGTAAATCTTTAGAAAACAAAAACAAAAACAAAAAAAAGTTGATGGTATCTCAAGTATTTTCAACAAATTTGGAAAATAAAAATAAAATACAATGCAAGATATAGCTTCTGAGATTGCATTGAACAAAGGAGCAAAAAGAACATTGGAAGTTCCAAGCTGTGTGCATTCAAATTATGATCAGCGAGACAATTTTGCTTAAATTTAAGCATGCCGGTGCCAATGGTCAAAATACAAGCAAGGTTATTGTTGACATTGGAACAATGTCAAACTCTAGTATCCATATTGCTGTTCTTTGACCAGTCGACGTCCGCTTGAGAGGTGGCTTGAATCAAGCAAATCTTAGACTGTCTTGGTGGAGGTGTTTGTCGCGTGAACTGGTCAAACTTGATCTCAACGTATTCTGACTATTCAACAATGAATTAACACGGAGCTGAATAGTACACGGAATATCACAAATGAGTGGCTGGCCGAGCTCAAAAAGACTCGCTTCAACAATGGCATGACGACCAGCGTCTGCATTGCGAAAAACCTGTAGACGACGGGGGTGAGTATCGAACCAGCGATAATCACAACTGATGCTACAGCCCTTCGAGTCCTACGATCCAATAAGCCTCCTTCAGAGCAGTAGGAGGGCAATCAACGAACCGCGGTCACTCCGTATCGGCGGGTGTAGTCATCCGGCGAAGGACAGGGAGCGATGGCTAACCTGGAGCCCGCCCAAGCTAACGATGCGTTGCGGAAACTTGCCGCATCGCAGGCTCGCCCACGGGAACGACTGGGGGCTTGGGACTATTCCGGAACCATGGTACGCCTGATAACGGGGTGAAATTAGACTTCCTCCCCGTGAAAGATAAAATGGAAGAGCGCACCAATGCAGCAGAAAACGCCGCCCTTACGTTTCTCCTGTGTCTCGTGATCGTCCTCGTCGCCCAGCTGGGAGTACTGCGATACAGTACTCGCGCCGCTGAGAGGAGTAAGGGGGAGAGTCAACGTCGGAGACGACTGCGCTTTGGGCTGTTGTTGCGTCGTCGTCGGTGAAGGCGGGGGCAGTGTTTGGCAGGGCGATTTCGGCTGTGCAATAATCCGAAGATGAGACGCATGAACTGAATACAACGAAAACGAAGAGACACACCTGTTCCTCATCCTTGTCCCTCTTTACCTCATTCAATGCCTTCCTTGCTTCAGAAAGAAACCGCCGCTGGGCTTCTAGTGGGTATCGCGGTTCCTTGTACACTCTCCCGCCCTGCTCATGAGCGGTGTTCGGAACGGCCAAAGCCGCAAAAGCCTGGAAACCGTGAGAGGGTGCTTGGAAGGTAACATGGTGTGTCGAAGGGCCCTGAAAGGCCATGTGGGGCGCGAGCGGTGGGAGGCTAAGGGGAGACGGGCGTCGAGGAATGTAGTACCGTGGGTCGCGGGGTGAAGTTGGGCTAGAAGGGGCTGGCATTAAGGTCGTCAAGTCGTTACTAGGTCGTTATTGACGTGCTGAATGTTGTAAAGTGTGAAGTCGAAAAAAGCAGAAGGTTACTTATATACCTTGGGCTATGCAGTGTTGATGGCGATGAAACACGGTCATGGGGGCACAGCTCATGCAAAGAATTCTCAAACCTAATGATTACAACTCATACCATGTTTTTTGACTCGAGTATGGTGTAACGGCTAACATTACCGCCTTTCAAAATGCTCACATCGCGGTAGCTCGGGGTTCGATTCCCCGTACTCGAATAATTTCGAGGGTCAAGATTTCTTTTTGCTTTATCGGCGTAGGTAACCTAACCTGCTGAGTAAAATTTTTCTGAATGAATGAATTTAATTAAAGTAAGATGAACTCCAACAGTATCCACATGCACACTTACAATTGGTAACAGATAAGCAAACAGCATGGGTGCACAGGTATCACTCCAGAAACCTGTACCCATAAATCTGCTGGTTTTCCATCAAAACAAGTCCAAGAATTAGCAGTTTATGGTTCTCGTTTTTGATGAAATGAGATAAAATGGAGGCAGAGGTAAGATGGAAAAGATCACCCTTCCACACTGAACAAGCAAAAAATTTAAATTAAACACTTTTAATAATCTGGAGAACAATCAGTCAAGACTCAAGGAAGATTTGAGGCTGACAAATAGTTTTGTAGAAGTGATAAGATAAGCATAGTCTGCAACAAGATGCAGAGAGCTGCCCCCTCAGTGACCAATCATTTTTTTTTTTTTTCAGGTGCTGAAAATGGCCATCAAAACAAAAACATCATCACAGCCCTGCCTTTCACCCAAATTAGTCCATGCCAAGGGAAGTGTGATGCAACTACATAATGTAAAAAAATACACAACTACATTTAGACTANCATACATTCTCAGAAAGAACCAAAAA